GGAGGTGGGGAGGGAGAGAGAGAAACAGAGAGAGAGAGAGAGAGAGAGAGAGAGAGAGAGAGAGAGAGAGAATAAATAAAGGATATATATATATATAAAAATAAATGCAAGATGGCACAGAGGCCGAAAAAATTATGCCAGTCCTCTCAAATGCCACCAGACTCCATTGAGGGAACGAGCCAAGGCCAATCCCTGTTTGAAAAACATACTAATATCTTTTAGTCAACCTTGATGGCTTCACGGAGACGTGAAGTGGTTTCCTTGTGTATAAGTAGAGTGGCAATGGTCTGGAGGGAATGTTTTATAACAGTAAGGTTCATTTTCTGACTTTTTTTAAAAAAATAAGGCTTACTCCTTAGAGAAGTAGTGAATAAATACAGAGTAGGTGGCCACACTAGATTCCTACCTGAGATCCAAATGCTGCATGCTACCATGCTATGCCATTTGCCACTGTGATAGAGGATTATTGCCCTCTTGTCCCTATGGGGCCTTCCGGAAGACATTTACTCAGCCAATTTGGAAGTAGTAGAATTGGATTTACATGGACCATGGGTCTGATAGAGCTGGTCTCTGATTGGCATTTAAGTATGACTACTCCTCCCCCTGCCCCAATTTAGAGGCAGTCTAAATTGTCTAGACACTGTAGAAAAAAACAGAGAAAATGCCAGCTGAATACTAGTTCAACTAAGGATTACTTGAGGCATTCTCAATTATAAGGTGGAGATTAGATGTATCCTATCTCCGCCACCCAAAGATGTCAACAAGGCATGTGCATGTGCCATGGTTAAGTACCAAGGGAAAAGGCCCCTAGAATACCAGTTTGAAGAGGTCTAAGAGTTTTGGCCAAGAGAGATTGGAAGGAGATTTAAGGGCTTCATCTGATTTCAAATTTGAGGACCATTCATCTATCTCATTTTGAATATTGTTCTGAGCATCCATAAATGAGAAACTGCCTCTGATTAAGGATGTTTCCCTTCCTTCTGACTCATATTCCAGTTATATTCCTTGGGATCCACCTGACTAAAAGAAATGGGATTAACTCTGGGACTATCATTTGGAAACAGTCTCCAAAACTGATTAGAATCTCTCTAGTGCTTCCAAGGCTATGGATTGGGGAGCCAATATGAAGAGAACAACTTTCCTTAGTATCTGTAAGGAGAGGGAATAGCACATCCTGGAGGTGGAGTGAAAAGAGAGATCAGCCTAATATCTCTACATAGTCACAAGCAAACAAAAGTCCAACTTCCTTTGGGTGCCATTTACTGTTACCTAATTCTAACATGGTGTGGACCGTTAGTTGAAAAGATTCCTGTGCCTAGGCTTTTAATAATAAATCAGCTTAATTGAACCTTTACAGGTGGAGCTGGTCTTTGGTGCCTAATAGTACCTGCTTTTCCTGCATAGATACTTTTGACTTTCTCCCTTCTGATGGAAAGGCAGAAACAGCTTGTGTCTTGATAAAATGGAGACTCGTGAGAATGAAGCGCTGTTGAGTCTGATCTTTTTAACCTTTGCATATTGAAAGGGTTCTGGGTTTTATTTCAGACTGTTCTTGTTAGATTATACCACTGAATGAATGAATGAATGAAATGAATGAATGAATGAATTTCTTTTTTCAACCCCAGGTCTCAATTCTTTATTTTGCAATTAGATTGTTTTGTAAAGTTTTTCTTCTCTTCCTGAGAACTCATGGTATTTATATCAGCTCTTTTTTTTACTACCCCAACCAACCACCTCCATTCCTCCCGGTCATCTTAGATGCTTTATTTTGTCCAAGCGTTCATAGAAATTCTTTTTCTGTTCAGCACTTTATCTGTTCAGGAATTACTGAGCGATGCCATTGTGTCACTCTGCTGCCAGAAGAAAGGGGTTGTTTCTCTGTGACAATGGCTGCCTTGCAAAAGCGAGTTGGGTTGGGGCCATCTGAAAAGGCAAAGATAAAATGATTTGACCTTAAGAAACAAACAAAAGTTTGGTGGAGAGGGAAGAAAGAGAGAAACCAATTTGATATGGCCGGAAGAGCATCATGGTTTTAAAGCCTCCAGGAATATCCATTACCTGCTGCGTCCACACAAAAGGCAGTGCACTCCTCTCACAACTCTAGTATGCAAGCTTTTTCAATCTTACAGGACTTTGTCTTTGTCTTCCAGTCTCGGTGTGAATTTGTGTCAGGCTTCCGTTGTCTTTTCTTTTACTACCCGTTGCTGAACCAAAATTCAGAGGTGCACTGATTTGAAAAGAAGATGATCCCCACCACAAAAGAAGGATTACTCAGAGGGAGGAGGAGAAGAAGAAGAAAAAAAAAATATTGGTTTTCTATATTTTTAGAAAATGAGATTACTCTCCCGTTTTGAAAATCAATTATTCTGGGGGAAACAGTCTTTTTAAAAACAACAACATGAATTCAGAGCTTCCTCGTCATCCAGGTTGTTGGTGAAGAAGCGCTGAACCCAAAGACAGAAATGTCCCAATGGTGCCACTCAGAAAATAAATGTTCCATCATGTTAGTCTAAGGTTTGTCCATCTTGGGTATATTATTTGTGCCCCCGGTGGGCCAAAGATCCAATCGAACTGCAAAAAATAAAGAGAACAATTGAAAGGAAGGAACCTAAAAAAACTCATCCAATTCCATGCTCATCAACCAAAGCTCTCAATCATTATTCCTTAAAAGTGACCAATCAATTAAACAGAATATCACTATGCCAATTGATCACAATATGTGCTGTCACGTTAGTGTCAACTGTTAGCAACATAGATTTTCTCCAGATCTTCAAACCAGGCTTACGTCCTCCACCTTGCTGCAGGTTATTTTCTTTCTTTTTTCTCTTTCTTTCTTTCTTTCTTTCTTTCTTTCTTTCTTTCTTTCTTTCT